CAAAGGAAAACGCCTGTAAAGTCTTCATGTGTGAAGTCTGCCACAGCCCTCTAGTGTTGTGCTCAGTTGGCCTTGGCAAAAGGGGTGCTGCAAATCTGGCATCCTTTTTGGAATGGACATAAATATGGTGTGTAGAAACACCATAACTGTTGCACAACATCCTGCTGTTTATTTCCAAATTTCTTTAGGCAGGATTTCAGCTGAGGAATTCTGGTGTTCAACAAACTTTTTTTTTTTTTTTTTTTTTTTTTTTTTTTGTCTGTGTAGAATCTCATGGCAACTTTCATTAGCAGTGACCATGCAGAACAAGTGGAGCAGCTGCACAGGGGAGATACATGCAGTGTAGGGAGAAACACTCTCTTTAGATGATGAGTGTCTGTTCACCTTATGATATCTTTACAGTGCCAACAGAATAAAAGCAAAGGTAAAGCATCTTAACCCCTTGTGTATGTGCAATGAGAGGATTAGTGACAATGTGACAACATCATCATAAAAGCCTTTCCTCTGTGCACCTTCCAGCATGTACATGCTCATGCACTGGGAGTGAATAAGAAGAGCTTGACACAGAGCCAAAGCTGCTGCACGTGTGGTAAGGGCAGAGCCACTGCTGGCAGCATGGCAGAGCTTTCAACATGTCTTTCAGCTGAGGGCTATCCTTACCTTACAAACCAGAAATTATGTTCTAATCTTACTGAAAAATAAGATATTTCCTGCTACTGCGTACTTATTTCTCTCATTCTCTTCTGATATTTTTAGCCCTCAAAAAGCTACACCCATAAGCTTTCTCAATACCTATAAGAATTTGGAGGTTGTCCCCCCAGTTCAGAATAGCCAAGAAGTGTCTTGGATATAGTTAAGTGTCTTGGATATAGTCTTCAGGAGTACCTAAAGCCCTACTGCTTTAGCAGAAATGGGGCTGTGATGAAACCATAATTCATTTCCTTCTTATTTTGTGTAAAGGTTTATTAGCTTGTGATTTAAGCAAACCATCTGGTCCTGCTGGCATTCCAGGTTATGTCAGACTCAATGCTTTCTCCCTGTAATATGTTACTTGAGGCAGTTAAATTACATACTTAAGGGTCCCAAGCCTGGCCTGTGCTTTTTCCATGTCTTAACATCTGTTCTGGGAAAATTTTCTGGGATCCAAACAAGTTTACATGGAGCCAGAACTCGTCTTTGTCTTTTTTTCATGGGTCTGTTTCTTTCTCCTCTCTGTCCTGCATTTTAGTCAGTTCAGTAAAAGATAATGCAGAAATTTGCCCCCTTTTATCATTTCAGCAGTGTACACAGTGAAGTGAAAAATAGTTTAAAAACTCAGGATCTGAAAAAAAGTAGAAGAGAGTCCTCTGAGAGGCTGAGTACCACGTTATGGGAAATGTCAATTTATTATTTTTATTCCAGTACTTGTAGTACTCTTAATACTGAATTGTAATTGCAAGACCTTTAGTTTTGGTTTAATTCATTTTGGACAGAACAGATTTCTGGTACATTTTAACTCATAATACTAATCTGTTGTTTATACAAGAAAGATCTATGTTCAGAAAGCCAATAATTTTAAATAGAAGTTAGCTTGCTGAGGCGGTTTTGAAGATAAGATCTCTAGTGATTGATTTATACAATGCTCATTGAAAATAAATTGCTCATGCAGGTACTTGTATCTTTATTCTCTAGAATTCCATCTTTTTGTATTCTGCCTGGAACATTTAAGATACAGCCATGAATACAAAGAGCTATCCCATAACCCACAGTGCCTGTATGTATATTGAGAGGAATATAATTCTTTAAGTTGGGAAGATAAAAATGTGACTGTTTTCGGTAATTAAACATTAAAGCATAAGTTTCCCATGTATCACTGGAACTAAAAGTAATGTATCTGCAGCTTAGGAGTATGCAGAGATCTTTGTGTAATACTGAGTCTCTCTGCCATGCCCTTTGAAACCTTTAATTACAGACTGGTGTGCAGCCTTTTTCACTTGGTCATAAAAGTGTTCAAATACTTGACGAAAACAACACAAAACAAAACAAACAACAACAACAAAAAAAACCAACAAGGAAAGAGAAATACCAAGACTAACAGATAGCTTGGACCGTCTGCAAGATTGAAACTCCATACACATTTGAACTATTCATTCATTCATGTCCTGTCATTTAAGACTGGAAATTTTTCCTTTGCAGTAGGAGAACATTCTTCAGCTTTTTCCTCTTCATTTGTATACATACAGCATACAGAAGTGGAGTGTATGGCTCCCAATGAAGTTTTTCTATCTTACTATCTAGAGAAAGGTCCTCTGATACTGCAAATGTTTTTCCAGTGCGTAGCATTTTGCTTTTTGTTTGCCATATTGCCGTTTCTGCCTGTAAACTGTCATTCAAGGAAAGAGAAATGAGAAGCGAAAGTGCATTCTGTGCATTGTGAATTGAAATAATTCTAGTGATAGGGCACAAGCTTACTGAAAATCACAGAATCATAGAATTTTCATAGTTGAGAAGGACCCATAAGGATCATGGAATCCAACTCCTGGCTCCACAAAGCACCACTCAGAAATTAGACCCTATGTCTGAGAGTGGTGTCCTAACATCCCCTGGAACACACCTTGTCCTCCTGACTCTGCTCCATCCTTGTAGCCGAAAAGTCAACGGCACGCCTCAGAAAATTCTGGTTCTTGGCAAATACTTTTTGTTATATAATTAGCTGCACTCAGAGCAAAAAATCAAAGACAGATTTGAAGTTTCTCATGTAGGATAAATTGGACATCCATTGCAAGGACATCCATTGCAAGGAATGTGCTTCTAGTGAATATTTCTTTATCATTTCTTCTAGGACTGCTTACAGAGAAATATAGACAGATCTGCACTAAGATTCATAGCTTGGCATGTAAAATGCTTTATTTTGTACAAGTTTAATGGAAATACTCTCATGGAATATCTATAGCTTGATGAATCCAAGTAATAAAGTCTTTAAGTATGAGCAATACTACTCCCATGAATTTTCTCTTTGATGCACACTGCCTTCTAGACAGAATGGAAAGCAATGACACTTCAGATGACATGTTGGTGTCATGTAAAAGCCATTCACATTCTATCCATTCCCTATATATGATTAGATCAATTTTCTGTTAACCTTTGGAAACATAGACTACATGTGGTAGTCAGTACTCCAGTTCATGTAAGTTCATACTTTGCTGCAGACTTTAATCTTGCTGCCCAGCACTGACAGCCTTGCCCCAGCTATCGACCTCCAGCCTTTCTGTGTTGCAATAGCACAGAGCTGTTACGCTACAGATCTGCATCAAGCAAATCAATCCTTGGTTATTAGTATCACAAATTTTATGGCTGGGAATGGAATGATGGACAGCAAAAGTCTTTCAGACTTCATTATGGAAAAGTTGCTTCAAAGACTGTTTTATCTTGGCAACTGACAGATTGACACAAGCCTTTCAGATTGTTGCCGTTGGCTGGGGACTTGTTTGTTTGAGGTTGTTTTTTTGTTAGAAGCAGAGGATTTTGCAGTTGGCATGCCTCTTTTCTCCTTGATTTAAAGAAAAATGTTTATGTATGATCCAACCAAAGGAAGTAGAAGCTGATATACTGGTACATATTCACTTGCCCAACATATCGCTATTATTTTTCTTTCTAGGTATCAGTTTTCTTCCTAGAAGTATTTTTTTCTGTTCATTATTTCTGCAGTTTTTTACATCCTTTTCCGACTTTTCTCTGTTTTCTTCTATGGGGCTTTTTCTTTGTTTATTTTAAAAACTGACAGAGGCTCTGGTCTTATTTTGTACACTAATGCAAAAGGAAAAGCTTGGTTATTTTACACGTCCTAGCCAGTTTGAAGTATGTGTCACTGAAATTCTGCTTTGATCTGTTGATTGCTGAATGAATTGTTGATTGTACATTTTGAACAGTTTTTGATAATCTCATATCTTAATTTGTTCTTTATTTGCTGGATACAAGAAGAATTTTCATTGTCAGCTGCATTCAAATGGAAATAGGCATTTTGCAGTAAGCACTGCACAATGACTATGGTAGATTTTATAAATTGGTCTTTCTGAATTGCAACATTTCTTGCTGTATCTATTACTGAAGGTGAAAAACAATCTTGTTATCCTTGTTTGTCCTGAGCCAATAGCTCTACCTCCCAGAATACTTGATTTATTAAAGCAAGTGATGATATGCTGTACACCTTACATCATCTAGCACCTAGACAGCAAGTGATGCACCATACATATAGCTATACTGATTTATTTATTGTGGTTTTGCAAGTTTAAGTGGCAAATTCTATCAGAGACAAAACCCACTGCTAGTACACAAAATGTGACTAGAGTCACTTGTGCATTATATATTCTAGAATTTACAGTCATCTTAATTCTGAACCTTTGAACCAAGTAATTTTGTAGTAGCCTAGAGATATAAGCATTACTCTTCTATAACTGTCTACCATCTTTGAAGGTGCTTTTGTTTCCGAATCACCAAATATGGCTATAATCATTGTTCAACAGATGTTTTGGGGGAAGTAGCCTTACTTACATTTTCATGGAAACCCAGTCCTCTCCTTGTTTGAGAAATATTCTTAACTTCATTCTTAAAGTAAATATGTTGCTTCTCTTTAGAGAAGAAGTTTTCACATTAAATTATCAATGTGCTCTATTTAATACTTAGCATTTTCCTAAGCTAATTTAATGCCAATTGACCATCTATTTTTCCTTGTGTTACATTCTCTAAAATAGAAATACTGAAGAATTGAAGATTTGTAGTTTGGTATTTCAAAAGTAATGTTTCAGTGACCAGACCGTATTAATTCAAATTCTATAATGCTGCTTCCAAAACATGTAGATATACTTTACACAGCAGTAGATGACGATGCTTCTGGTCTACAGTGTTATGCAGTGTACTTGCACTGGTAATCTTAGAACTCTAACTTTGTTGGGACCTTTAGTAAGTTCCAGTCAGTCACACTGTGCTATTTTTTTCTCCTGCCTTCCTCAAAAATGTTTTAGGTAGAAGAGCTGATGATGGCCATGGAGAAGGTTAAGCAGGAGCTGGAGTCGATGAAAGCAAAATTGTCTTCTACACAACAGTCTTTGGCTGAGAAGGAAACCCATTTGACCAACCTACGAGCAGAAAGAAGAAAACATTTGGAGGAGGTCCTGGAGATGAAGTGAGTGGTTATTTCCATTATTCGTAGGCATGTTTTATTGATATTTATGAATTATTCGCTGATCTCTGATGATTTAAAGGCAGCTATTAACATGCCTCTGCAGATACGTATCTATATAATCAGTCAAGTCTTCAGAAGTGAATGTGCTATCTTACCTTGAATTTCTTGTTATCCACTTTAAGGCAAGACACCAGTCAGTGTAACAAATGTTAAAAAGGAGAGAGGGATGAGGCAAACATAATTCCAAATGGTTGTAATGCTGAAATGAGACTGCAGATGTCTGGTCTGCTAAAGTATTTTTCAGACTCATGTGAATGATTCATTAGCACTGGAACAGAGACTTAATTTCTCTATCAGACTTCTCTTGTCATCTTTACATAAGGGGATCTGAATAAAACCAAGCTTTGAGGTGGGGAGAAGTGAGGAAATAGACTTCTAAGGCTTAAATACTTCCTAATTTCTGACTGTGCATTATAGATGAATAGTTATCCTTAGTTTAGGGAGACGGGAATCCATTTAGTGCAATGATGGATAGTGCTGCCAGCAGTTCATTAGAAACACTTTCAGTTGTTTAGCCAGCCCTGAAGAGAAGGAACGTTTTTATTGGCAGGACCAGCAGTGGTTCCTCCACTGTGGTTTTGTGAGCCATTATTTATTTATTTAACTTTTCTATGCTATCTTCTTTCCTTTCTTTTTCTTTCCTTTTCTTCATTATTTTTTTTTTCAGTGAAAGGATAGAAAAACAGCTGTTATAAAATGCAAAGAGATGTGGCTTAAGTCTTGAAACTCTTAAATTAGGAGTGCTCTGCATAGTGGGCCAAGCTTCTCTAGCTTCGTATTAAGCTACTACACTCTGATCTAGACCTGGCACAGAGACGTTGGAAGACTGCAGTACTTAAAAGCCACACTTTTTATTTTTAATAAAAAAAATTTATTGAGCTATAAATTTGACTGGCTTGAATGCTGGTGTACTGGGGGATGGGAACAATAGCTCTTAAGGTGATATGGGAATCCAAACCAACTGGAGATATATCCCATATCCAATCACTTGGCAGTACTTTCTTCTGCCAAACTGCTCTGCCAAACCTCCTCATTAAAATATACACGTATTGTACAATATATCCTGAAATGTATTTTGAATTGTGAGGCTTTCACACTTTCAGTATAACTACTCACTTCTTTTAAATGATGACCTCTCTTACCTAAGTAAGTTATTGTTGGAAAGCCATTGTATTGAAATTAAGTATCGGGAACTGCATTAACTGGTAGATCCATTGTGCCAAAGAAGGAAGAAGAACACTGGAGAGAATGGTAATGCTGTCAGCACATGGACAGAAAGATGGAAAAAACATTACACTTGTATAGTTAACTAGCTGAACGTGTTTTAGACGTAGCTGGGCTGTCTGAAAGTTCTATAAAGCTGCCAAATGCATCCAAACTTCAAAAACTCACCCTCGCCATGAGTCTTTGCTGCAAACATGTCTCTACTGAGGACTCCCAGTCAATTAAATATCTCACTTGAAAAAACTCCAGGATATTCTTTGTTGCACACTTTCCCAGCTCATGTCTTTTTTGAAAAGCACTCTTCTCAGATGTTTTCTAGTTTTGCAGAATTTTCTAGTGCTTTTAAAAATGTTTTCTACTATTTCAATCCAAAAATAACACTAACGGAATCTTTAGTAAATTTTTTGAAGCAGCTGAGCTGCTGGTTTGATATTTTAACAAAAAGCAATAGTTGTGCAGCTACAGTTCATTGACACTGTAAAGCAGCATTGTTCCCCAAATTGTAGGGCACACTTCTGTGCAAAAGGTTTCAGATATTCAAAACAACAGTGCTTAAATTTGCTATTTGATAGAGGTTTACATTTAATAGCCTGGGCCCTACAGGAAGCTAACAGAGCACGGGGGAATGAGGGGAATATACAGAAAAAAGGCTTAAGAAATGCTACTTCAGTAGATTCTAGATATGGACTGAAAGAAGGTGTTAAAACGGAGGAAGGACTCCAGAAAGCTACCTTGGAGTTGTTACAGGAAGTTGTTAGATATTTTGTTAGTGATATGTATTTAAAATAGCATGTCTTAGAGTAGAACTTGTGTTTGCTACTGACGCTGTAATCCTGAGAAGATTGTTTCACGTTCTTTAGGGAATACTGTGGCACTAGAACGGCAGAAAAGTGAATTATTCCAAGGAGGAAATTTCACTGCTTAAAGAAATACTACGTATTTTGAACCTCTCTGCCTTTTAAGTCTAATATTTTCATTTTCTTTAAGAAGTATCTTACTTGTAAATAATTATAGGAGAGGTAGATAACAGTCTCTCCGTTTATTTCAACAAACATGATCTACTGTAAAAAAAAAAAAAAAGCCAGCGAACTGCTAGAATTTTTGTTTTGTTATGTTTTCTTTAAGAAGTTCTAATGTTTCCATCATTCACAGCAAATATTTCAAATTAGGCAGGAATAAAGTGCTGTCTACAGAGAAATCTCTGTTCTTTGTCCCATAAAAACCTGCTTAGGCTGAGCTGAGTTATAAACTGTTGAAAATCACCAGTTTTCCTTTCCCTTTTTTCTCCTGGTGTTGTCAGCAAATTTTGGCAGTGTGTGAAAATAACCGAGTACAAACATTCTAATCTGTGGCTGAGTTCATGCAATTGCCAAAACTGCAGCAGCAGACACTGCACTTATAGGGAAGGGGAACAGACACTGTGTCTGCCTATAGAGAAGAGACTTCTTTTTTTCTTTTTTTTCTTTTTTTTTTTTGGTCTGGGCAGGGCTTTTGTTATGGACAGAAGGAACAGAAGATTGTCCAAAGTCATCTATCTACTTCAGGGTTGCTGAGTTCCAGTTGGTGCATTTGTCAACCTGTTCCTGTGGACCTGGGAACTTGTCTAACAAATCTTTCCTAAATTATGCCTTTCCTTGCTCATTGAAGTTACTGCTAACTCCGTAATTCAGATGTTGCAGACTTACACAATGTAGATGGTAGTTCAAATTTGAATCCTTGATCCTGCTGGCACACAACAGAAAGATTATCACTTATCCAAGAATAATTCACTATAATCTTTTTTTTTTTCCTTAAGAAATAATTAAGCATATTACAAAAGGATTGTTACAATAGAACATATGATTTATTTCAAAATTAAGTGCTCAAAAAAGTCTTGATCACTCACATGACTTTGAGTGCTCTTCTGAATATTTATTGCAGCAGTATTTACTTACATGAATAATCCCATTTTTCTGGCAGCTAATGTTTGATTTGATAGAGAGCATAGATGGTGATCAGAGATTAACCAGGCTGTGTAGCTTCATTATACTGTTTATTGCATTCTTATTTTATTTCATATATGAGTTGGAAAGTCTGCTGAGAGCTACGTGAGGGCTACTATTAAAAACAAGATGCCAGCCTAGGAAATGCAGTGTTAATCCTTCTCTGCTGCAGTTTTCCTACACAGTGTGCAAGCCACTTGAAGTAATTGGTAGATGATTGATAAGTCCATGTGTTCTTTTTCTGCCGCTCAGGTAAGAAAAATAGACACGAACAAACAAGTGAAAATGAAGTCAGTGAAAGCCAAGGTTGTTTATTTTCTAAAATGTTAATCCTTCCAGCAGTAAGGTAGTATTGTCTGGAGGTATGAGTAGGAGAGGTTGAAGTTGAAAGTGATCCAAAAGAAACTGATTAACTGTCATAGAGTTTATTTTTTGGCCCAAAATGATGCGTAACGTAATTCAAATACAGCAAACAGTTTCACCAAACCAATTTTTTTCGTGTTATGTGTACCCATGATGAGCAGAACCAGCAAAAAAAAATCCAGAACCAAACAGTATCAGTGCCCTCAATGTCCATCCACCTCATCACAAAATGTGTTCTTGGAAATTAAAGAAATATTTGTTGGAGTTATTGTGGAAATCTTATGTTATGCCTGTGTTCTAATGACAGTTCTCCAGAGGAGTAGAGTGATTTGTAGTTTCAGAGGAAGTATATACATAAAAACAATTCTCTCTGTAGTTTGAAACAAGTTCATATTTGTCAACAGTGCTACAAATCAGTAGTACCTTAACCTTGCACCTGGCTTTCCAGATCCAATTCAAAACTTCTCAGCATTTTTAGCTGGACTATGTGGTCTGTGGGCCACGTGGTGTATCAGGCCATCAGGCAATTGCAGCAATGCTGCCAGCGTTCTTCCTGTAATTACTTCTGAGGTTTTAAATAAGCTCCAATCCCACAGAGGACACTCAATTTCTGTAGCATTTACTGTTTGGGGCAACACAGAACAAATGCATTCCTTTTTTCCTCTGTAAGCCTAGGGTTTTTTTTTTTTCATTAAAATGTCTTTTTTTAGAGGAGGACAAAAAGTGAAAATAAACATAAAAAATATCCTATTCCCATTATTTTGTCCTTTTCCATTTTTCAGCTTAAAATATACGTGTTTATTTAAATTAGATATGTTCACTGAGTAAGATTCTGACATTTAAGCTGTAGAAAGTTCAGTGAGTCTGGTATGTGAAAAAATACCGATTTCTAATAACTGAAGAATTGAGATATTAAGACTAAATGATTGCAAATAAACGGATGCTGGAACTGCTGTTAATCTCAAAGTGATTCTCACTGAAGCCAATAGGGAAGTTGAAATATATCTTCTAAAGCTAAAGGTTATTGCATCACTGTTCTCCTTACTATAATGAACCACTAAGCTTTTCACAAATGTGAGTGTAGATCTTGGTTACCTTGGAATTTGGTGGGTTCTGCTATAATTATTTCATTCATTTGGATGCTTGAGAGAAAATGTAATCTCTTACGCACTTCTCTTTTGTCAAGGAAGTAATTGGAATCCATTATCCTTTGTGTCCTGCTGCATAGTCAGTAAGCCTTCAAGCACCGGTAGGTACTCAATGGCAACATTAAGGGCATCCTGCCACTTTGTTTTCAGTGAAACTGATGGAAGCAGAGAAGCTTAACCCAGCAGCAGTACTACAAAACTCCGGTCGCAATTCACGTAGGTG